GTTTGTGGCGGCGGCTGCCTGTTGTTTGGGCTTTGTGCCCCGACAAACTCCTGTGCACGACTCTGGCTGCCTGGCCCGAGGGGCACTGATAGAATTAGCCCTGGCAACGCAGCCCCGCCACCTCCTCGGGCTGCTCCTGAAGACAAGGGGGGAGGAGAACTCGTGCGGCTCTGGCTCGTGCTCCGATTCCATCTTGGATCTAGGACAGGGCTGGGGGCCCCAAGGCCCGGGTGCCATCCCCGGTTGGCCTGGAGCCAGCCCCCAAGGCTTGGGGCTCCCCCTCAGCATTCGGGAGCCTGCGCTGGTTTTTAGTCTCTTCCTCCCCCCGCCACGGTTCTCCTGTGGGGATGGGGCGCTCAAAATCTACTAGCCTGGGCTGGCCTAGGCCCTGGTGTGCAGGGAATGTGGGGAGGGGCTTTCTCCTCAGTCAGGCCACATCAGTTTGGGGTTTTTTTGCTTCTCACTTGTGCGCGGCCCCCGACTAATTTTTCTGTGAGTCAGCAGCCCCCCCTCCCCTCCGCTCTAGGGGTCCATTTCGACTTGCTTCCAGGCCCTCCTCTTCCCCCCAAAGGAGACGGGGCCGATGCGCCATTCTCCGCTTGGCCACGGACCCGGCTGCCCAGAGCCGAGACGCGCCCCGAGCTCCCCATTCCCGACCCAGCCAGCGTGACGGCTGTTGGCTCTGCTCAGGGGCCGGGGGATGCCAGTCAGAGATGGGGACTCCCAAATGCGCCACGTGGACAACGGCAACTAACTAATGAGCTTGCTGAACTCCCCATCCAGGGCTACGACAGCACCGCGTCCCACCCGCGATGCCGCACAGCCTGGCAGGAAGCAGAGAGTTGGGGGAGGGAGGGATCTGTGACTTGGCTTAGATGTCCTGGAACATTCCTCCCCAGTCACGGGGGAAGGGAGGGGAGCCTGGGTGGGATTTTCCAGTGCACCCAAGTGAGTCGGGCACCCAGCTGCCCGTCAAAGTCAAGGGGAGTTTGGTGCCTAAGTCTCTTTGGTGCCTGAGAAAACACCATCCTTCTGGCTGCGTGGGCTGGCCCAGCCCGGCGGAGAAAAGAGAGCAGCAGAGAGAGCAAACACGGGGCGGGAGGAGGTGACAAAGGAAAGGGGCAGACCCCCCCATCCCCGAGAGACAGCGAAATGGAGGCAAACGGGAGCCGCGCCCCCTGAACCAGGTGCAAGGGCCAAGGGCGCGGACACAGGGGAATGCAACAGGAAGCCGGTGTGGAGTAGAAAACAGGAAGTGGGAAGAGCAGCCGCAAGAGGAAAGCACAGGAGACACGCTCGCGGCTTATTTTTAACCCCGGTTAACACGGTGCACTCGGGAGAGGGTGTGGAGCTGGAGAGGCCTTTCACGTGAGCTGGAGAAGGGGAGCGCACAGCCCAGACCTCGCAATATGGGCCCGCTCTGTGTACTGCAGGGGCCGCTCCACACGAGGCAAAACGTGAGCCCTGCACAGCCAGGAACGCCAGGAAGCGAGGAGCCACGTTCAGCTGAAACTGCAGGGTCCCCCGGGGGCAGAGCCCCGGAACCCAATGTGGGGTTTGGCCAGGACATTAGCGTGTACTCTGCCTCCGACTCTGTTCCTAGGGACACGGTAGCTAGCAGCCTCAGCCACTCACTGCCCTAGGCCCTGTGCAAACAGGCCAGAAAGGCGACCCTGGCCCCGCAGAGCTGACAACGCATAAGCTGAGACACCAGATGGATCCAGGCATACGGGGAGCCCGGAAGACAGGCTAGCATGACAGGGTAGTCCGAGCACCCCAATGGCCAGGCACTGCCCCGTTTTGTGTAGGCAGCCCAGCAAAGGAGAGTTTTAAGGCAAGATCGGGTGGGGGACGATGATTTGGGGGTGCAGATGATTACAGGGAGCTGTTCCCAAGCACGAGGGGCAGTCTGGGAGGTGGCAGCGTCTCACCTGAGAGACGGAGGCTGCCAGCGCTGTGCCGGGCACCCGGGGGGCAGATCCAGCAGGGAGGGGACGCCGATTGAGCCCCTGACACATCGCAGGCATCCCCATGAAAGGCTTGGTCGGCCCACATCCCGCTGAGCTCATCGGATCCAGGAGGCGGGAGGCAGAAGGTGACATTTCCTCCCACGTTTCAAATCCCGGCTCGGGAGGGGGAAAGAAGGGAGGGGCACATGCCGCAAGCACGCGTCTCTTCCCCCGCGGCTCATCGCCCCCCCGCCCCCGCGGGAGACCGAGGGCAGCAGCCACCCACCTGCGCGACGCCTTCTTCCCAGCCGCGGATCACCTCCTGCTTGCCCATCACAAACTTGAATGGCTTGTTCCTGTCGCGGGAGGAATCGAACTTCTTCCCGTCCTCCAGCATACCTGAAAGGAGAGGCGCGCCGTCAAGCACGCAGCCCGGAAGAGACCCCGCGGCCCATCAGCCCCGGGGCCGTCTGAGCATCCGCGGGGAACAGGGGGCTTCCAGCAGGGGTCAGTTATCTGCCCTCCCTGGGGCGTCTTCTCTAGATGGCCCGTTAGCAATGCAAGGGGAGCAGCTGGGGCTGGGGAGAGAACCACCATTCAGACAGGACAGGGGAACGTATCACCCCCTCCCGGGTCAGGTCCCTTCCCCACACAGCAGGCCTCCCCCCAGCCTCGGGGAGGAAGATGGGAACAAGGTCGGCGGGGGGAGCAGAATCCATCCATCTCCTGGTACTCCTTGGGGCGGGGCGGGCACCGTGCCCAGCAGATTGCACCAGCTTTGCAGCCTGGCTCTGCACAAAGTCAACCCCCCGCCACCCCCGTTGGGCTTTGGCAGCCCTGGGAAATCTCTCCGCTCGCTCCTGCCCACAGATCTGCAACCCGCAATTGCCATGCCAACCAGGCATGCCGAGCAGACGGCCGCTGTGCAGCGAACGACAGGACTCCTGGCTTCTGCGCGACCGGCCCCGCCCCGCCAAGGGGGAGACGTCAGGGCGTTCGCTGAGCAGCCCACACCGACGCCGGGCTGCCGCTGGAAGCTGTCGCATCGGGGCGCCTCCCACACCTGGCTGGGAGAAGGGAAGCGCGCAGCCCAGCCCTCACGATCCAGGCCTGCAGAAGAACCTCCAGACTGGAGCCAGAGGCAGGGCCATGTTGTGCCACCCGGTGGGGTTCCACCTACGGCCCGTGCCCCCCTTTTCTGCCCCCTCCCTCACACTGGGGCCAGTTCCTGCTCCTCCCACTCCCTCCCCGCTTCTCCCCCCTCGCTTCCATCCTCGAATCAGCTGTTCCCGCTCAGGGAGGGGCAGGCACACACGGGGCTCCAGTGCGCGAGAGGGGCGTGGGAAAAGGGGGCAGAGCGGGGGTGCACGGGCCGCAGGTGGAGCCCCAGTGAGCCGTGGGTTGCCTGCCACTGGTCATGCAGCCCACCGCGCAGAAAGAGGGCCGCTCCCTGGTCTTGGCTGCCCATCGCTGGGCTAGAGGAACCTCGAAGGGAGCCCTCGGTCCCGTGAGCGTGTCGGTTCTCTGGAGAGAGCACGGTTAACAGGCTAAACATAGCTCCTGAAGGCACGCCAAGGAGGCACTGCCTCCCCTTTGCTCCGCGGCGTGTCCGTGACCTTCTTGGGGAAACCTGGCAGCTCTCACTGCCTTATACGAGCAGCAGAGCTTCTCCCCTGCCCAAGTCCCCCACACCGACGGCCAGGGCTGGACTGAGCCCTCTGGGGAACATGCCACATCACAAGAGAGCTCTGCCCCGCCGGGTCTCCTCACGGGGTCGGCGCCCCCTTGGAATGGCTTTGCCCTCCACCCACATTCCCCCGCTCCCCCGCACGCAGCCGGATGCCCCGGCATCAAGGGGAGCTTAGCAGGGACCCCACCAAGCCGGGCGTTCCCTAGAAAAGCCACAGATGCAGGAGCTAGAGGTGCACAGGAAATAGTTGTGCTCACTACCCCCAAGCAGGGCGATGCAGCAGGTCTATACGCAGAACCAAAGGGCCCCACGACCCGGCTGCTCTACCCAGGGACAAGTCTCCTTTCTACGGGAGCCCTAGATCCGGCTAACAGCAGGCCACCGAGAAATCAAGAGGGGGAAGGGGAACCAGACCAGTCTGGTTAACTACTGCAAACAGGCTGAAAAGTAACCAGGAGTGTAATGATTAACTACAATCCCCACCCGCCTCTTTCGCCCGGTTCTGCTAGAACAAGTATCTGCTTTCCCCAATGGATGCTGTTTTACTCTTGGGAAAACAGATCCCTTGTCTAGTCCTGCAGGGAAGGGACCCGAGCGATTCCCCCGAATCGGGGCAGACACGAGTCCCCACCCGCGGGCAAGCGGACAAAACACACCGTGTGCCTGGCGAGAATGCCAAATCACACCAGCTCCAAGTCACTGTCACAGCAGCCAGAGTGTCAAGCCACGGGCAGGAAGGCCAAGGATATGGGCCCGTGTAGCTCTGCCTCTAGAGGAATATAATGGCAGGAAGGTGATGGACACAGGTTCGTGGCTCCTCGGCGTGCGAATGCACCAGCCCAGCAGCACAGAACCTCCCCCTAACCACTGCCCCCGAGATGAGGTGCACCTTGACAGATCACTAGGGGAGGGATCTCGCTCAAAGCGGCCGTCAGACTGGCCAGGGCCAAACAAGGCAGGGCTGAGAACGCCGCCCTTGCTGAGAGGGATCCCGGTTCCCCAGCCAGCCGGCTTTCCTGCGCAGCGGAGGCATGAGACACGGCCTTTCCCAGAGGCCCAATAGCTCCCCAGCAACGCGGAGCCTAAAAGACTCAAAGCCCATTTGCAAGGCTAACGGATTCCCCAGCCAGGGCTGCCCGGTGCAATCTGCCCCACAGTCGGCCCCGCGCTTCCCAGCCTGCCTGCCCCAGCTGCTGCCGCCCTGCGCGGCTCCCGTTTACCAACCGGCTGCAGAGTGTTATTGTGCGCGCCAGCACAGACCCTTTCCCGAGTGCCTCGCAGGGCGCCGCAATTACCGCCGCCTGACAACGGCGGAACACACAAAGCACGGCCCGCCCAGCCCCCGCACGACTCGCTCCCGTGCAGCTCCCCCAGCGAGCGTGTAGGCGAGCCTGCCGCTAATGGGGCTGTTTGTGAGTACAGAGCCGGCGCTGAGAGCTGCCAGGCTAAGACGAGCTCAGAGCCTCGCTCTGTATCACAGAGCTCGCTGCCGTGAGCCGAGATCACCCGGCGTGGCCCTGCTCCCTTCGGGTCGCCGGCTAGCGCGTCAGCCTGCGTCCGTGCAGCCACGTGCTTCCTGGAGTTGTGTGCGTTCCCGGGCATAACCCCCAGGGGGCTGCAACATAC